GCATGTCTCGGTGGCCGGGGGAAGGCCGTGCTCTGCATGCTAAGAGCCCATCCCTCCCTTCAGCGACGTCTGCAGTGGCTTTCCTCTCTTCCTGCTCGCTGATTCTACCGCTGACGTCCCCCCGTCGGGGTCTCTGTCTTTCTGAAGTGGTCCTTGGGAGTCAGGCATCACCTTGTGTAAAATGCACACATCTACCGAGGTCCTTAGACCTGGAACCTTATTGAACGTAAGGCTCACACCAACTCGCGGTAATCAATGCGAGACCTGTGGCCAGTGGACAGCAGTCGGAATCCATTGATTTATTAATGAAGGCCGACCTTCCGACGTCGAGGAGAGCCGATCCACATCAAAAAGCCGTCTGGCTTCACAGAGGGCCGGATTCATGCTGGAATCACTGAACGAGGCTAAAAATACATTTTTCCCACGTGCACTGTGCCATATAAAATATTTATAGCGAGCCCGAGTCTGCTAAGAATGGCAAAGATGTAACAGCGAGAGAGGGAGGGGGAGATGGCTGCCAAGGCTCGGCGTAGCCTTCGTGGCGGTGCCAGAGCTTACGTAAGAGCTCACTGCACTCTGTCTGGATTTAACACACAGCCTCAGCGAGAGAGAGAGGGAGAGAGAGAGAGAGAGAGAGAGAGAGAGAGAGAGAGAGAGAGAGAGGACTATTGTTCTTTCTCCAGTAAAATCTAATTTTATCATTCCTTTATGTCCTCTACAAGCCGCCACTGCGCATGTCCTGACATTACCAGGCTCACAGTGGTGGGAGTTGCATTGCATTAAGATGACTTCATTTGCATTTGTAGACATTGCATTTGCTGACAGTCAGGCGAACCGAAAATAGGAAGAAAAGCAGTGAATTACAAGAGAATCAGAGAGTCTGTTTAGCAGCAAATTTTACAAACTCAATGTTTTTCAATTTAGGAACTGCTTCTTCTTCCTGAGTGAAAACCACGCACAGAAAACAATGTACTCACATTAGACATCTGGTGAGGTTCAAAGGAAAGAGGTGAGATTTTTGGGAAAAATGATGATAAACTGCATTTTATTATCATCCTCACAAGTTTTTATAGTTCTGAGGACCCCCAGAGAAGACCTCATCCCAAACCGATGATCTGTGCAAGATCAACGTTTGAGACAGTTACATGTGCTGTTCAGCAAGATGATTGTCACAAATAATTGAACACCACTTTTATGATTTTTGAAGCGTGAACGGATTGCCAGTAAAAACTGCTGGACTGTGAAAAAATAAAGACATGGTCACATATCTTCACGTCACCATCCTTGGGCTGACGATGCAAGAATCAGAAAAAGTTACCATACGGCGTTTTATCCTGCAGCAAAGTACCTTTTTTAAAAATGATCCCAGTTATTTATGCACATACACACCAGATGATACAACGGATCCCTTCCATACATCCGTGATCAACAGAGAAAAACAATTCCTTATTTAACTTCACATTTCCAAGTGAGACCCCTCAGTGTTTTGGCGTCCTTCAGACTAAGACATGTGATGTTCCCTGACAGCATCATTGCATCATCCTGTGGGATTTAGCGTGACGGACAGATAATGTGTGATCCATGCAGACGCACCCCCAGTGTTCCGTGCATTTGAAAAGACAGCTATATCTGGGATTGACTTGATGTGTGGAGAGCGGAGGAGGGTGGAGATCTATAATTCAACACAATGCTTTTGATGGCTTCTTGCCAGAGTTTTCTGCCCTTCCGGTTTTTACTACTCTGATTTACGGATCAACAATGACTCGTCACCGATTGACGGCCGAGGGGTTCCTTGTGTGAGGAACACTGGATGCCCGTGTGATGTTTTGTGCAAGCACCGAGCATGTGGAGGGAGGGAGGAAGCTAAGGGAAAGCTAAGGGAAAGCTAAAGCTAAGGGTAAGCTAAGGGAAAGCTAAGGAAAGCTTTGTGGAAGCTAAGGGGAAGCTAAAGGGAAGCTAAAGGGAAAGCTAAAGCTAAGGGGAAGCTAAGGGAAAGCTAAGGGGAAGCTAAGGGAAAGCTATGGGGAAGCTAAAGGGAAGCTAAGGGAAAGCTAAGGGGAAACTAAAGGGAAGCTAAGGGGAAGCTAAGGGAAAGCTAAGGGGAAGCTAATGGAAAGCTAAGGGGAAGCTATGGGGAAGCTAAGGGGAGCTAAAGGGAAGCTAAGGGGAAGCTAAGGGAAAGCTAAGGAAAGCTATGTGGAAGCTAAGGGGAAGCTAAAGGGATGCTACGGGAAAGCTATGGGGAAGCTAAGGGGAAACTAAAGGAAGCTAAGGGAAAGCTATGGGGAAAGCTAGCGGGAAGCTAAGGGGAAGCTAAGCCCAGGCCCTCCAGGTGTTGTAGCTGCAGCGATGCACCCTCCGGCTTTGACATACAGATGAATGAATTCACTCAGAAAAGGAAGGTAAGCTGTTTCGCGAATACAACCGTGACCAGCCTGCATTCAGGAGGTTTGCCTCCCCTACATCTATAATCCTTATTAAAGCAACACCCATGAAAAAGCACATCTTATCATCATTTCCCCCCCTATTAAAATGTCATCGTACGTAAGCTTGTCCTGGTGAAATCAGCTTGCATCTCTCAGATTGCCAAACCGCTGTTTCATCACGCTGAGAGCCGCTCTGACAAATCGCACAAACAGCTTCCTCCAGAGGGGGTTGTCGGAGGGTTTTGGAGGGAGGGAGGGGGTTGAAGCAGAGACGGTCTCCCTGGTCGCCTTCCTCTTGGCTCGCTCAGCTCGCTCTGCCTCCTGGGCGTCTCTGCATGCCTCTCGGAGCCTCCCTGAGGTGAAGGTAACCTTCGGGGGATGGTGACTTGTTATCTCATGATTGAATAACAATGGTTTTTTTTCTCGGCCTGCTGCCTCCACCCGAGCAGGAGCGCAAACCAACCCAGAGCGGGTTCAGCATGCCGGCGGTTTTAGCCAATTGTTAAAACGCAGCTTCCCTCCTCACAGTAGTGAACAGGGTGTCATCAACGCCTCACTTGCTCCCTCCGATCCAGCTCCGCCCCTGATGAGCGGCGAGGAAATAGCAACTAGGCGAAAAAACAAGAGTGCTCAGGGATCAATTAATTGGGACGTGTCGGCCATGATGAGAGCAACGTGTGTGTGTGTGTGTGTGTTCGTTTTGCAAATTTGCTTGGATGAGCAAATAAGACTGTCCTGCTGTGTACTGCTGTCCTGCGTGGCCCTGGAGTAATCAAGCCTATAGAACGGTGAAGTGGAAGTCATGTGACCCTGATGCAGAGACATTGTCACACAGACAGTCACGTTCACAGACTCGAGAGTTGACTTGCAACCAAAAAATAACATGGACTTGTGATCGAGCATCTCTGCGCTTCAAAAATCAGTGGGGTTCATTTTGTGAAGAGTATCTTGTGGAACAAATGCTGTAATTTTAAAGAGCATTTGATAGTTCATTATCGTAGTTTATTTTCTACCAGGATCCAGAAACAAAATGACAGAAGGAACCACGTAAACTTCACGTCATCCCTGCAGCCCTCTTTATAAGTTGGTTACGCACGCTGTTCATTCAATCTCATGCAATGCAATGATGGGTCAAGACGCATTTGTGAAAAGATCTAGTCCCAAGGAATATTTATAATGGTACTTAAAAAGAGGGATTTTGACTCATCACTGAGGGACAATCTCAGGATTTTCTAATCACATTAACGATGGCTTTGCACATGAAACTACTCCAGTGAATCCAGCTGTCTCAAATCACCCTACAGATGTGCTACAGCTTCTCTTTATATAAAACTACGGCTTTCTCCATCATTGGTTTCAATTATTGGTAGAATGTCTGTCTTCCTAAGAACGCTCTGGATGGAGTCTGAAATGGAAGGAACAGACAGACAGAACACATAATAACAATCATGATGCGAATGCTAATATTCATAATATTAATATTCTGAACGTCTTTATTGGATGAATGGAGCCACATTTAGTTGAATAAAACCTTCAGGGTATTGACTTATTTTCCATTGTAATTCTCTGAGAGTGAAAAGGAAGCTGGACGTGACTTAAATGTCACGTATGAAACACGCTACGTCAATGACCTAATTACCTTTCACAATGGAAAGTCTATAACTGACCAGGTTTTCATCCATGTTGGACTTCTCAGCTTTTAAAGTGATTCATTGCACCTCATCATGATCACTGTCATCATTAGTCTCTCCTCTTTTTCATCTTGTTTTCATTTGCAAATCCCTTCGAATCGCATTTGGTTGGGAAAGTTGCATCGTGAATAAAACTGGATTGACTGACGGATTACGAGAGGCTCATAGCAGCAGAGCTGGTATTTGTAGAGAAGTTGTTTCGGGCCGATGCGTCTGTGGTCGCCACTGAGTCACGTGACGGAACATCCGCAGCTCTACACTCTTGTTGCCACATCAAAAGGCCACAGTTTCCCTGTTTTAGCAACGCGCCACCCTCCAGTGTCACGATGCAAAAGGCCTCTGTGCGAGCTGCAAAATAAAGACACGCGCGGAGGAGATCGCGTTGCCATAGCGACGTCTCTGAACGGCAGCAATGAAGCGGGATTTTCCTTTTAAATGCGTATTGTCTGCGTACGTTATTTAACCTTAATAGCTACAAAAGAGTCCAACCTTAATCTCTCAGCGTGACCAGCGCACACATTCCCCTCTGCACATCCACTTACGGGCGCCTGTGTCAGATTAGGGCTTCGCACACACACACACACACACACACACACACACACACAGAGGGAACACAGTGTTTCCGTCAAGCTGGAGGGCGTCTGATAAAAGCCAGAGAGTAGAGGACGGATGATTACAGCCTGTCCTCACCGAGCATGTGAAGTGTCCCAATGACTGCAGCAAAAGGAAACCGGGGACAGCGCAGAGGCCACGCAGAGGACGCAGCTGCCCGAAGTGGGTCATTCAAACAATGCAAACAGCAGCAGCAGCAGCACGCGGGGGTCCCAGGTGTGACTTCAGCCCGTAGTGCAGGTGTGAAAGAAAACCACAATCCAAAACAGCGGAGTTTGAATAAGCTGTAACTTTTATTGCACATTCCTGTTTGGTCTTGCAAACGACCTTTCAGCTCTTGAACTTTTCAGACCGTCGTCCTCGACCGAGCACTCGGGTCGGGAGTGGGACAAAGTCGCCCGCAGTGACTGATCACGGGTCAGAGGTGCGCGGTCCCTTTTACGAGCACAGGGAGGTCACACTGATCCTCGATCCGTGACTGGGGAGAACTTCGGTCCAGATCTTCGTGTCCACCGCATCACCCGTAAGCCAATCTGTCTAGAGCGGCCCGGTGGGGGACTTCATGGACGGGACTCGGAAGTATTCAAGGGAGCGTAGGACTGTTCTTAATTCCACTTACACTCGCATTGAAGAGAATACTCCCTAAGGGCTTTGCAACCTTCTGTCCTTCCTTCCTCCCTAACCCCCTTCCTCCATCCCACAAACACAGAGGCTATCATTCATGTATTTTTTTTTTTCTTCTCGTTTTCTTGTGACAATACCTGCAACATGCTTCAAATCTTCATTTTGGCAAACCACAAATAAATTAAAACACAAACATTCAAATAACACAATGTGACATTTTTCAGGACGCTTCAAAATAAAAGAATTATACGTACAATACAGAACCTAAAAAAAGAAACAGGAAAAGAGAAGCATTTGCATTTTTGTTTTTCCCCCTTTTTTTTCTTGCTTTTCTTGAAAAAAGATATACAGCAGCTAGCTACCAACCACGTATCACATGCAGATATAATACAACATAATCAGTTCACCCAGTTATTGTCTGCAAACTACCGATCTAAACTAAATCACAAAATGATCCTTTGAAACCAGCAAACACGCAGCGTTTGAGATATTTTGTCTTACTAACAATGCAGTTTACAGTTTTCTCCGCTGCCGAGCCGAGAGAGACCAACACAGGAAGGACCCTGAAACGCCCGTCCCCGTCCGAAGGGGACCGACGCACCACATGGTGCTGTTTTCTTTTTCGCTCTGCATTATTTTTTCTTCTAAACCCCCGACGGGAGTGTAACACACACAGTCGACGGTTGTCGGCCTCCGCCTCAGCGGTTTGGAACCGTCCCGCTGCAGGATTGCGGTCAGGGGCCCCCGTCTCCCCCCCCTCACCACCTCCTGGCCTACACTCCACCCCCCGGGGGGGGGGGGAGCGGGAACCAGAGAGTGGCAGGGACGTCGGCGCCGAGCGGGAGCTTTGACCTCCTCCGTCCTCCTGCTCGTCCCTAATGGCGCTCGGCCCTAAATGTCAGACCAATTAGCAGCTTTCCCTCTGACATTTAACTGGCGGGGAGCAAAACAAACACGCGGCGAGCCCGGCTGGGTTGGATTGGACGGACATCCCGCGGCGAGCAGGCGTCCGCTTGCTTGGGAACGACGTGGCCCGAGTTAACGTGAGATATTCACAACGTCTTTCCAAAGGTCGGAAACGCGGGAGGTGTGCGTCTCCTAAGCGGCGGCCAGCCGGGCGGAGCCAATCACGCCTGTCTCCGGCCATTTTGCAGAAGCAGCCGGTAGCAGCGATCAAAGCTCTGCCTTCCTCCTCCTCCTCCTCCTCCTCCTCTCCCCGCTGCCTTCTCTCTCTCTCTCTCTCTGAGCAGACATCGATCAGGCGGCCTCTGAGCTCCACTCCATCCACGGCAGCGCTCGAGCCCCCGTTCGTGTGTGTGTGTGTGTGGGGGGGCGGCACAGCTTGGAATAACCTCTTTATAGGTCGAACCCCACAGTTTGTTTACAGTAATAATCAGGAGCCGACGCAGAAAGTGGGACAAGACGGCGACAATTAATTCAGCAAAAAAGGGAAAAAACAGCTTTAGGCCGCGTAGGGTCATTCACAGTAAACCATATTGCCCCCAGTTTAAAGGGGTGTCTCCCTTGCTCAAACGCACAAACATACTGGCCCTCAGCTGTACCGTCTGGTATCTTCATCTGGGAAATAGTCTTTTTCCTCTCACACACACACACACACACAATAACATCAGAGCAGAGAGAGAACCAAAAGGTTTGGCCCTCATTCTATTTATCGTAGCCTACATAGTCTCTGCACGAAGCAACAAGTGACTTTTTATTTCTCCATTAGAAACCGACATCCATCTAAGCAACAGTGAGCTCTAAATGCAGCAACAAGTGACGGAGAGAAAGAAAAGGAGGAACCGACAGAGAGGAGAGAGAGAGAGAGAGAGAGAGCTCCATGTAAATTACAATCTTGTTGCATTGAACTGTGAGCAACGGCACAGTCGAAAGAAATGAAGGAGTGAATGATGCACCAACGGCGCCGCGCCACCCGTCTATTAAACGTTAACAGCTCCCTTTATATGTAAATGACCCAGCAGCTACAGAGCGAGACGCGATGCAGGTCAGTGCTGGAGAGGAGAGGAGAGGAGAGGAGGAGGGAGGAAAAGGGAGGAGAGGAGGGATGAGTCTCCTTCATTCAGTAGTCTTTCACAATGGGGGGAAAAGCCCAGTGTGTACACACATATACACACGACTTCCTCTTAGGTCTCTTTCAAAATGGGGGAGAGTATGTCCCCGGGTGAGAGGGGACAACAAAAGTAGCTTCTTGGTGGAGAAGATGGTGGCGTGTCTTCTCTCGGCGAGTTTCAGGGCCGAAAGAAATCCGCCCCCCCAAAAAAAACAATGACGCGACGCACACAAAAAGCAAAAGAGAAAACAAATATGTCGGGTGAGTCAGCGAGAGGTGAAGGTGGGTGATTGTTGAGTTAGCAGGGCGCGTTGTTTTGCGTGTCGGGGCCAGTTTTGTCCCGGCTAGCGCGGTGGGGGGCGGTGCGGGGGGTGGAGGGGAGGGAAGGGGTGGAGGGGGGGGGGGGGTTCGTGGGGAGGGGGGTCGGCGCCCTCAGCCCCTCAGCCGTCGGACACGGGCGGGGACACCCAGCCGTACTTCTCGTGGGTCTTCACCAGGGACTTGAAGGTGGCCTCTGCTTCCTTGCGGCTGAAGGCTTTCTTTGACTTTCCTGATTTCCGACATATGCGCCCCTGTGAGGGGAGAGAGACACAGAGACAGAGAGACGGAGAGAGAGAGACAGAGAGAGAAATCACATTTATTGTCAAAATAGAAGGAATTTGACATGGCGGTTGTTGTGTAACATTGGACAGTAAGACAATGAGACAACGAGACAAATAGCACAAGGAAATTGGCGTGTTGAATTTCAAAATGTCCAATTTAACTGTGCAGCCACTGAGGTGATGATCATCATGACGCGCTCCTTCATTCCTTTAGGATTCTTAAGGACAACAATGCCATGTTTTTCATAATGATCATTGGAGGGTTTAAAGACTCGAAACAAGTTCAAATGAAAAACGTATTCCGTTATTATTTGTCAGATCAGGATTTGCCTTTTGAGATTAAAAGGATTTTCCCTCTCAATCGTCGGCATTGTTGTCAAGCTCAACACAGAGGAAAAAGTCCTTTCGGGACACGAGCAGCACGTGCACACGGATGAGCTCGCTGGTGGAGACGTTGACGGGGTAAGTGGTTTTGCATTAGGCGTCTGAAGGCTTATAAGAGCTCAGGTCCGACCAGAAGTACCCTCCACTAGGCCCGGCGACGGGAGGAGAAGTGAGGACCAGAACCATCTAGTGCACGGAATGATGAAAGAGTATAAACATATGAGCGTTCAACCCTGTCGTGTGAGAAGCGTCCCGCGACATCCCCTGCAGGTAATAAGAAGATGGGCTACGAGTCCGCGCTGCGTTGCAACACCGGACCACTTCCCTCCGAACACAATGCTTCTTTTTGCGGGGAGGAAGCTGTGTAGAAACCAACCGATCAAAGGCTCTGATGTGGTGCGCTCTCCTGGAGTCTAACGCACGAGAGTTAGCTTAACATGTTGCATCATGTCTGTTCTTCATTGGTGTCAACGTCACAGACTACAAAAGTCCATATAAATCTCTGATATTGTTGCAGAGGGACACAGCACAACACAATCAAGTGTGCGTTCGCTGCTCCCATGACTTCTGATTGAGGATCTGTGCGTCCTGTTCAGGGCTTTCAGCTCGGCTATTTCGGGTCAAAGGTCGGGGATAAAGGGAGATGAGGCGGTGACGTTGAATGATCTGGAGATCAGGGTTACGGTTTCCATTCCTGCAGCGACACCGGCCTCATTTCCCCCGCCGGGCTTAGCGTCACTCTCTCCGAGTCCGTCCCGCGGTCTCTCTCAGACGGACGCGCGCGCGCATTGAGGAGCATGGATCGATGCTAGAATCGACCCCTGCTATAAACGTCCGCCGTGACGAGTCAAATGACGCACGAAACGCTATAAAACTGAGTTAAACCAAAACAGGGCCGACCTCGGCTCCGCTATGAATTCGGCGAAGAAGTTGATTCGCAACGGCAACAAGAAACTTTCCTCTCCGACGCGTGACGCCAACGAGTGACTCATCCAGAGAGCCCCGAGCGCCCCCCCCCCCCCCCCCCCCTCCCCCCCCATGGGGGCCTCGCTTTGATCCACGCGGCCATTAGAACGGGAAAACAAATCATCTCATCCTCGAATCATCAGCCCGCCAGAACAGCGCTCTGCCTCTCTGTGCCGACAGAGACAGACAGTGCCGAGCGCTGGTGCAACCTAATATCTTCACGCGTCGCCATGTTGTGAAGAAGTGCGATTCATAGAGGGAGGTGAGGGAGGCAGGGAGGTGTGGGGGGGGGTTCCCTCATCTTCTTTTCTTGTTATGAGGCAAACACGGGCCCGTGGAGACGGATTAGATGGACTGCTTGCAAAGGTCTACCCTGAAAACACTGTGTGTGTGTGTGTGTGTGTGTGTGTGTGTGTGTGCGTGAGAAGGATGGACTGTGTGCACAAAAGCCTCCGCAAGAAACTGTGCCTCCAAAGGGGGAAGTTGAGCATCAACCGGCGCCCTTGTGCTCGCAGTCAATTTGGCGGCCCGCCTCGCCGGACCCGCCATCTAAAGCCGGACGGAGGGAGAAAGTAAAATTTTCTGGCCGTGAGCAAAATATTTCCCAAACAAACACGTGTGTGTGTTTTTCCAGCTGAGTGAGAGCCCCCTCCCTCCCCCCCCCCCACCTCCCGGGTCCATACAGCGCCATGTCAGTGTTCATCTCTTTCAGCTAAGCGCTCGCTGAGAGGTGCACACTCGTGTAAAGTGGCTGTGATCGTGTGAATGGAGATCAGTCAGTGGGCAGAGGAGGGGGAAAAAAAACCCAGTGCATGTTGGGAAGCAGCTCTGGGGGCTTTGGGGGTAAGGGTGGGGGGGCTGTGGGATGAGCGGGGGATTGCATAATGCAGACATGTGCTTCACGGGGTCGGGATAAACAAACAGGGATCAATGTCGCCCTCATCAGATGGTTAAGGAGCGCGTCGATGGCGCGGCCATCGTTCCGCGTTCAACGGCCCAATGTCTCCTCTGGAGGAACATGCCAAAGACAAAAGGAGGTCACGGGGAGGTCACTGGGCTCCGCTTTTGTAAAGGAGACGTTACTGACACAAATTGAGGAATGCAACATTGAGAAAAGCAGCTAGAATTAATATTACTGAAGGGGGAACCAGCGAATGTGTCTTTTTCCTCAATAAAGCCTAACAGGGTCCAATTATCAAAATGTCTTCCCGGGACGTCGTCTTTAGCCCTCGATAGCAGCTCATCTCGGGCTACGTACACACAAGCGGGTTTGTATTTCCCAATGAGAGACAGCTGATATTTACGCCATGAAGGTCTGGAGACTGACGCCTTGTCAGTGACTGACAGCTGAGACAAACGAAAAGGGAACAAAATGTGCAGAGGAACCTAATTTGTTCTCGCCTGCAGAGCAAAGTGAGACGAAGACAGAAGCGTTCCTTCTGAACACTGCTGGCATACACATGGATCAGAACACACAGGCACCAATGATGACACTTTCAGAGTCACACAAAATAGTTTACGGTGTATAAGTATAAGGCCCGAGTGGTGAACCGGGCGCTTGTGCCCCCCCTGCATCTGCAGGTGAAGACACACGTGTCTCTGTTGACTTTCACCTCGCCGCTTTGTCACTGCGTGTTTCCTCTCAGGACTAAAAATAGCCGGGAAGCGTCTAAAAAGGCCGCATCCCCGTTGTCGGAGGGACGGCGGGTGCCGAGGGACGAGCACAAGGATCCTGTGTGTCGAGGTTTATACTTAGCCGCTCGTTCGTCACGACGCATGAGTGACGAGTGCATCTGCCAGAAAATGAGGACGTGCGAGCGCTTGCGTGGGCACATAAACTACAGAAGAGGCGAATGCTGAGAGGTGCACACACACACACACACACACAGAATAATTAATCAATATTGTTTCCATTAGAAAAATGGAGAGAAAAGACACTGCACCATAATTAGGGAGCACTGCAGAGCTGCCTGCTAATCTCCTCAAGCAGCAAATCAAGATGAACAGACACACACACACTTTCCTCTCTCTCCGCTGTGGGTTCCTTTTGCTTCCATGAACTCGTATTCTATCGTATCCTACCTCTCATTCTACCGGCTGTCCACTGACGCTTTACATGAGGTCTCCTGCCACAGCGCTGTCATGATGCTGACGTCAGACACGGAGTCACCGAGGAGACTCGAGACTCTACGCATGCGAATTTACAAGGATGTGAGGAGCTGTGACTCCTGTCGGGGTGGAAGCTGGAAAATCCATTCAGAGTTTAAACGATTATGGCCCCGGAGTGCATTCATGGATGCAGCCTTTTCCATTGAAAATCGCTGCTGCGGTGCACTGAGGACGTGAAAAACAGATTTGACAGGATTACATAATCCAGTCAGTCTAAATCAAAGAAGCCTGCTGGTAGGTGTAGGCGACACCTGCTGCCACCATTTATTCAAATGCCCTTTCCATTCACCATCGGGCCTCATCACAGGTTAAATAACTTTGCGCAATAATGTGCTGCAGCACAGATATGAGGCTGCCTGAGAGCCGCTGTGGGGGCCGCGGCATCGCATGGCGGCACGTCTTTGTTGTCAAAGGATGCTGATTTATGGAGGCAATAAAAGGAGAGCACACCGGTGCGGCAGAGAAGAGCTGGAATCAAGGAGATACTGAGGTTTGTGCGGCATGAAATGGCTGCTGTAAAGTCATATTACGATTAATAATATTCAAGGGTTGGCTCACAGTGGGGGGGGGGGGCTACGGGCCTGCGATATGACGATATGCAGCACACTGAGCACGATGAATGCTACAAATGGGCTAAATGGATGTTTTGGATTTTTTTTTTAATGATCAGGTGACCTTTACCCTTTGGGACAAATTTCCTATGGGAATAAACTGCTTCCTTTGAACACGTCGACCCTCCACTGGTGACCAGAGATGATAGATTAAATGAGTATATATGGCACCAACCAAAACCAAACGTGTGTTTAAAACATTCATGTCCGACTAAAAGCCTCACCGCGGTACGTCCTAAATGCGTAATTGCGCGTGACGCACGAACGCCTAATGGGATTAATCCCACCCAGTACGTGGAGATGACTCACGTGCCGTGTGGTAGATGTTCCCTCCCCCACCAGCCCTTTCTTTTTCTTCTAAATCTCCTCACCTGTCCTTTTACGAGGCTGGCCGCGAACTGCCTCATGACCGCCTCCACCGTGTAGGCGCTGGACCATCCGCGGGGGGTCAACAGCTCCATGCATATGGCCCCGCCGTCCAGCACGTAGCCGTTCTCCAACCGGGGCGTCAGCACCCGCATGAACGGCGGCGAGAAGGGGAAATTGTCGGGAAAGGTGACGTTGAGCAGAATGAACTCGGTGCTGGTCTCCTTCATGTCCTGCCACAGCGCCGAGTCCTTGTCCACCTGGTGCAGCTTGACGTTCCAGTCGTAAAGGTTGTCCTCCACCAGCTCCACCGTGATGAAGTTGTCCCCCAGCCTCCTGATCTCCTGCAGCTCCTTCATCAGCCTGCGCGTCCGGACCTGGGTGCAGTGCTGCCGGTGAGGCGCCGGCGGTGCTGTGGAGGAGGCGCTGGTCGCTTTACTCCCGCCTCCGCCCGTTTGCTGCTTCTCCTTCGCCTCCTTGCCCTGCTTATCCTTCCCGGACGGTTTGTCCTTGCCCTGCTGGTCCAGCTTCCTCGCCTTAATCTCCGGGGTGCTCAGGATGTTGCTTTCGCTGGAAGTCTGACAGTGTTTGTTGGCGTTGTTCTTCTGGTTCCCTTTACTCCCCTTTAGCGAGCCCTGGTGGTGCTTCGGGTCCTCGGTGTCCCGGTCGTGCAGGCGGATGAGACCGATCTTCCGCAGTAAGGTGGCCATAATTTTCTATAGATCTATGTTTCTCCACAGACCCCTCCACCCACCCCACCCCTCGCCCCTCCTCCCCCCCTGCACAGGGGCAAGAATCACCCTTTAAAGTCGGTCCCCGCTCACGGAGAGGACCTTTCTTGCAACCGCAACACCCTCCACCGCCCCCACCCCCCGGTGCGCTGCGCTCCGCGCGCTGCAGCCACACGACGAACACAACCGGGGAGCCTGTCCGGTTCTCTCCTCAGCGCATCTTCTCCCCCGCGGTTTGACTGAGAAACAAAACAATAAAATAAATAAGCAACGCACAGTTAGTTTCGAGCTTGGAAAAATGTTCAGCAATGAAACACACTGATCTGCTTTGTCTCCGCGGGTTCAAGCAGTTATCCAATGAAAGCTCGGGAGATTACGCACAGGCACTTTATAAAAGTGTTATGAACGTATCATAAAATACACGAATAGATGAGTTGCTATTGTTTCACCACGATTACATGCGTGTAGAACGACGGTATCGTAGAAGGAACGTGAAGGGAATTAACGCCGACAAACATCAGAATGCATCACAAGGTTGTTGCAACACTTCCGACTGGACACTTATGTGAACATCGGCTACATAATCGTGTAAATAGGTCATTAAAGGCTACGTCCATGCATTGCATTACATTACATTACATCACATGCACCGTTGAAAATGCCATCGGTCGTGACACCATAAGGGATGAAATGACCATAAATACCTCACGCGCCTGCACTGTAAATTCTCACCAAAAGAATTATTATCCCACGTTCTCCTTTATCCGCCCACGCGCACCGAACACCGGCGACCCGGCGGCAGCCCGTGCTTACCGTGGACGGGCGACAGTCGAAGTGTGTCCCGTCTTTGCGTCTCCCGTTATGCAGACGGAACACCGATCCGGTTGAGAGTAAAAAAACGGAATGGCTGCATCATCCGGTAGACCTTCCGTCGGGGGGAGCTGCGGCGTGAGGAGAAGGAGAGCCGTTGATGTGAGTGTGTGTCTGTGTGTGTCTGTCTGCGTGTGCGTGTGTGTGCAGCTGCGGCAGCTCCGAGTTTAATGCAGCCGAGGAGGAAGCAGCCCCCGGTAATCCTTCAGAGCGCCTCTGTTCTCACCGGTGGAGCCCGGTTTATTCATCTTTTCAAAATAAAAGCCCAACTAAACTAAACAGCAGCATCCTACTAATTATACATCAATATTGAGTATAATATGATAATATAGGATTAATATCGGGTAAATATATTGAAATATAAAAAAATATTTATTTAATGTAATGTTGCTTTTATCTTGGAATTCCACGCTGTATTTCCCGGTGGAAAATAAAGAGTGTTTTGAGCCTTTTCCTTATTTAGATTTTACTAAATAGATAACAACGCCAACTGTAGGACAGTGTCCCTTTGTCAGAATTAAGGACACCTAGGTGATTTTAAATATAATGTTACATTTCAGTTAAATAATGTCTGAAATCCACCCTCATGTTTGTAGTTCCCTGTAGGTAAATAAATAATCTGCTGCGTATCTACATTTAGTCCAACATAATAATGCAACAGAGCAGATTGAGACATACTGAGTATGAAACAAAACGTTTCAGTTCGGATTCACAGCACATGTTTACAAACGTCTTAATCACGATTTAAGATCCATTCTCACTATGATTTAAATCACAAGCCGATCACATTTGGCACAGTACACGTAGTTATTTAGACGCAGCCATGTCCGCCGGGTTGAACCCATTTCTGTTTTTGACAAAGAAGACTCCTCTCAGATGGCACCGCGACACTTTCAGGCTTTGATGGTCACTTAACGACGTTCTGTCAGCGGCCGTTGCCATGGCAGCAGAACAACACCCGCCGCGATTGGCTACTCTGCTGCCGTAAAGCACTACGTCGTTCTGACTGCCGTTGAGACGGTGGTCGAACAGGCAAAACCGATTCTATATATTTTTTTTTGGCAAAAGCGGTCTTCTAAGCGGAGTATTCTCGATTTATTTGAGTGGCGGTTCGAAGAGGGTCGGCGACGATGGCCGAGAAGTTCGATAACCTGGAGGAGCACCTGGAGAAATTCATCGAGAACATTCGACAGTTGGGAATCATCGTCAGCGACTTCCAGCCCAGCAGCCAGGCGGGACTCAACCAGAAGCTGTGAGTCGCGAGGACGGCGTGTACCGGCGCCGGTTAGCCGGTTAGCCGGCTAGCCGGCTAGCTGGCTAGCACCGTGTTCTCACCGCCTTGTGTTGAACTTCTCCCCGCAGGAACTTCATGATCTCCGGACTCCAAGACATCGAGAAGTGCCGCCAGCAGCTGCACGAGATCAACGTCCCGCTGGAGGTGTTCGAGTGAGTCCAGTTTAGCTCTTCTGTTGTTGTGTGCAGCCCAGCTGTGGATTCATCATAATAATAATAATAAAAACAACATCTTATTAACACAGCAGCCGCTGTGGGTTTGTGATTTCGTGGTGTTGAGAGTGTGCAAATAGCTTTGCGGTAAAGTCACGCCGAATCCCCTTCATATTTCTGACCATTTTACTGCATCGTTGCATGTCGGTATCTAGAAGTGGTGCATGTCTCTTTTCTCCGCTCTGACTGGTTTGTGAGAGCCGCTTTAAAATTCGGCATGCAGATATGATCGAAATAATATTAAATTATAAGACTTTGAACAGCCCTTCAGGGGAGGGATTGCTCAATAATCCTGAAAAACACAACTGAAATTGAGATATGCCAAGGCCGAATGACGAGTGGCCCATATTTATCTCATGGAATTCATCTATCTATCTCCTTGGTAGATTCACCACGGTTCCCTCCGATGATAACATGCCTTGTGTTTGTAGATACATTGACCAAGGTCGAAACCCTCAGCTGTACACCAAGGAGTGTCTGGAGAGGGCCTTGGCGAGGAACGAGCAGGTCAAAGGGAAGATTGACACTATGACGGTAAGCGATCGGGTCACTGAGATTCTCTACCAGGGACGAGCAACACCACATGAACAAAGTATTTCACTGATTAAGTCTTCCCATCCATATTTAGCTTTCTGTTTATTAAAGATAAAAATGTCCCTTTCAAGGATCGTCTTTATTATTCAAAGAGTTCTTCCTCTCTGTTAAGAAGCTGATGAATTAATTTCACTTGGACACAATGCTTTAATCCTTTTGTGTTTCGGCAGAAGCTCTGCTGCGATGAGCAATTATGTGTTCGTGTCAAATATTCTATTCAGATGTTTTTCACTTTTTCTCGCAAGCTGAGCAAAAGGCAGATCATCAGTAATGATGACTAACCGACGTCTTTCGTTACAGAAATTCAAGAGCCTTCTAATCTCCGAGCTCGGCAAAGTCTTTCCAGAGGAGATGGTAAAATACAAGGCCATACACGGAGAAGATGCCCCCTCCTAGTGACTGCTGCAACATGACCCCTGACCTTCAGCCTGTGACCCTTGAATCGAAAGCCTAAATGGAGTCCGACCAAGCAGGTCCCACCCCCTCACCCGTGGTCGCCCTCAGAATATGATAAAAAAAATCTTCATTATTTTTCCTAAATATTGCGATGCCGCGGGAGGAGGTTTTAAGTTCTGCTCGGCGCCGTGACTCGACCAATCCTGTCGTTGCTCTTCACTTAAAACTTATTTTAAAGAGGTGTAAATCAATAGCGAGTACATGGGGGAGAGTGGAGAAGGGGAAGCGGTCATTTTCAGCACCGGGCTGTTGTGAATGCCCCGTTGGTGTACGGGCCCCGAGTGGGCAGCAGAAGCAATTCTCCCAACTGTTCAGCAGAAGGAAATGATTCTGCATTAGGAATTTACTCCATCGGATGTACATACAGTATATTTATACTCTTACACTTTGCCTTTTGTAATGCTTCCTAATCGTTGTGCAACATGCATTTGTACCACGATGACGTTTTGTATGACGCTCAGGTTTCCAATGGCCATGATAAACGCAAATGCTCTCCGATGGTAATTCTGTGCCTGATCACTTGTCAGAAATGAGTCCATTCTTTATTTGTAACTTGTTTGCGTTATAATATTTTTTTCTTATTAAATAATCCTTGTTGGACTGGTTCTGTGTTTTGGGAAGTTTGTATGATTCCGTTTTACAGAATTACTAGTAAGTTGATATACTTGTATGAAATATGGCACTAATAGAATGTTGTGTATTTGTTGTCAAACTTCCTTATTCTGCTCCTTGACACACACACACACGCATATATATAATTATATGATATACAAAATAACAAATGATATATACATTACTTATATCAAGAATTATTAACAAACTCTCAAAGTCAAGCTGTATGTTGTACACTGTAATAGTACAATGGTGCAGAGTGTGAATATGATGGAATACTTGTCAGATCATTAATGTACCAGGCTGCTTTATCCAGGTGATATGTACAATTTAAACGTTTACACTTTTCAGTTAATTTATTAAGCCCATCAACAACTTCTACTCCGCAGTGATTTATTACACAACGTGTCAATCCTCTCATCTTCTTCATGGGGCCAAATTTGCATATTTCCCAACCTGTCAAACTAATCAGAACTATGGGCACACTTCCATGTGAAATGCAATTAGCATTAGCATTTTGTGCACATCCACAAAACATGTGGGGAAGTTGGGAGAAAATAGAGCGTGATTGCTTACAATAAAAGCGCGTCCTTTTTAAAATAACATGTTAATAACAACAAAAGAGCAGATCCAAAAGTTGCCCCATGGAGCACTACCCCCCCTCCATCCACAAACAGCCCACACAGAACACTAGCGGGATGATGCATCACCCTCTCAAAGCCTCCTCGGCTGAAAGGAGTAGCGATACATTTAATCGCTGCTCGTGCACGGCGACGTTCCACAAACAGACCTCTCAACGCCGGCAGCCGCCTCTCCTCCTCTGCTCCTCCTATCCGGCCTTTACTTGTGCCCTTTGACCTCGCTCCTGTGACTCGGGATGACGGCCATCCTCACAGCGCCGGTGGTCAAGGGCACATTTTCAATCCAATAACACGCCAGTTCGGAGGGGGGGGGGTTCAATCCAACGCTGTTTTTTCATCCAGTTTGAGATTGTGTCTGCTCACCGTGACATTGCTGTCACCGGGCGACGCTCGGGGCCGCGCACGCGTGCGTGCGTGTGTGTGTGTGTGTGTGTGGGAGGATGTGTGTGGTGATGCTTGACTAAATGAAGAGGGGGAGAGTATTGTGGCGTAAATGTCTCAGTGTGAAGTGCTGAGGTGTTTTGGATGACTCATCCAAGGTGAGTCCCCCCCCCCTCCTCCTCCATTCACCTCCTCTTCTTGTGCTCTCAGGCTTCAAAACCAACACCATCTTCCTTTAGCGTCCTTTGCTGCATTCTCCAGCTCTCATTGGCTGATGCACGCAGGAGGGCGGAGGTCACACGGCGCGCTGGGTGGAGTAAAGGCTGTAACAGCCAGATCTTGAGATGTTTCATTTTGTCGGCCAGAAGAGCCCCCGGTTCTCCGATTTCATGGTGTAAATGGGCCACTCGACAAATTGCTTTTCAAAACAACAAAGGCATGCCGGCGCTGTCTTTGTCCTGCAGGTATCACGTTGTGAAGGAATGGCTGGTGTAGTATCAGGTGAGCTGTTTGCCTCTGCAGTCTCTAAATAGTTAATTGCATTCCCTGAAAACATTCATTCAGTCAAAGAAAGGCATTAAACAGCGAGCGTGAAGCCAAACCGCTTCCAATCCAACCGCCATTTGTCTTTGCTTAGCCAAACATCTTAGAACGCATGTTAACTTAATACTATTTGTTCGTGTCTGATGGCAGTACAGGTTTATTCTGTCACCTTAGACTTAACTCTGTAGTAAAAAAATATATATGTTTATTTAGTCTTCTCTCAATTCCTCCTCTCTCCTGGTCAATTCTATTGCCGGTGATGAAAGCAGACGTATATTTATAATTGATAATCGGTTGCATGCCCAGGCTGCAAAGTTGCTTATTGCTATTCCAAGTGAGTACATTGACATGTTGATGCACCCTGAACGTTTTATTACATTAGTAATGTTTATATTTTAACCGACTTACCTTCTCACCTTACCATTGTTAGCCTTTAATAGTAGAATTTGGTGTAGTATTTGTAACTTCCTTATTTTGCTCTTTCACATATAAACACCACGTGTTACAAACTGTTTGAAACAGCAACCGTGATCTGTGAGGAAATACTCTAAATATCTATTTGGTGGTGGTGGTTTTCTTTTTAGGAGCCACAGTTCTGACTCAGTTTTGCTGGTTTGTGACCCTCCGGCCTCGAAGCCTTTGCTCTCAGGATCCGCTCTCCTCTCAGTCTTCATCGTTTCGTGTAACGCTTCACATTTCCCCCCTGTTGCGTTTCATCTCGTTTAGTCCTCGTGCCAATGATCCGCCAGCGTCGGCCTTTAACGGCGGCGGAGATGTAAAAAAACCCTCCCTTGCCCTCGGGTCGGCCCAGGAAACACAAAGGCGGGGGCTGCCGCCGCTGATGCTATTAGCATAATGTCTTTCTGATGCTAATGCTAAGTGCCTCAGACTCAACGGCGGAGCTCACGCGGCCCCGCAGCCACGATGCTCTTCAATGGCTGCTGATCGGCATTGTGACTTCTATTCACCTCAATGAAGGTCGGGGGGGGAGCGGACCCCCTCTCCCTTCTGTCGCCCTGGTCACCATGGAAACACCCCTCCCGTTAGCCCTCACCCACCCGTTCTCCCTCTTCTCTCCGGACAATGGCCTTGCGTGAGTGTGTGTCCAACATTAAAAGTGTGTGTGTGTGTGTGTGTGTGTGTGTGTGTGCTCGGGTAATAGGCCTTGTCTCATCACAGCTGATTTGTGTTGGTGATTCTGCAGGAGTCCGTGGTTCTGGTATGAATCACGTCGGGAGTTACACTCCTACGCAGAGCTCTCTGCACATCTATTACCTCCACGCACACGCACACGCACACGCACAGGCGTGCACGGGCCCACAGCGTGAGTCGAGCCAAGCAGCCCGGCTGCGGAGGTGAGCAGGGCCCGGGTGTGTTGCAAACAGTAATGAGCCACACTGCACAACCGGCGAGTGAGCAGCACGACCGTTACACCTCCGAGGGCCCTCCGAGGGGGGCGGGTGTCTGTTTGAGTGTGTGTGTGTGTGTGTGTGTGTGCGTGCATAGTGGCCAGTGATGGGGTGATTAAGATGCTAAATGAAATCTATAAATTAGCCCAATGATATCTGCTGCACGATGCTCTCGCCGCAGCAGAGGACCCATCAGCGGCAGCAGCTAGAACACCACAGATGGAAGTTCATTGAATTTTTTTTTTGGGGGGGGGGATTTTCTTCCGTGCTTTTCGGTCCTACATTCCTCCTCTTCCCCGCATCGCCGTTTTTTAATCTTCTGACAAGCAGCAACAAATCGGTGTGAACAGAAAAGTGAGAGAAAATAGACAGAGACAGCACGGCGGGGGAGGGAGAGTTGTTATAATTTCCCCCCGGTTTAATTATCTGAGTGTGCAGGCGGCTCGACTCTTTCTCTCTTGTCGTTAAATGTTAGAGGTGAGGATGTGAGGCGTCTGTGCACATCGGAGGCCCTAATGTTTACGCCTCGCTCATTACGAAGGGAATCAAGGAAAATCGATCATTTCCATCGTCATCACAACACAACGAGCCTTCACACTCCTGGTTGTGAATCACTGCGCAGCTCCAAAGGGATTGGTCCTCTTTTTAACGGCGCATGGGAAAAGCGTCGGTGCGGATTCTCACATTTCTAGGAGCCGGGTTGTGATGTCGGCGTTTGCCGGAGGGCTGTTTGGGCCCGAGGCCGTGTGTGTTTTAGGGGATCAGGACGAGGGGGAATTCTGCTCCGCTCCGTGTTCCGCTGTTGTCGGTTTCAAATGGGCTTTGTCTTGCAGTTGGGTTTATTTTTGACATGTGCCTGCTGTTATAAAACAGCGACACACCTGGAGAAATAGAGTAGGAGCAGAACGGACATCTCCGCTTGAAGGTGGTGGTGGATATGTTTCATTATCTTTAGACAATTTATTAGCTAAAATTGCTAAAATAAAAACGTCCAGCTTGAATCACAGCTGAATTTGCGCGAATGTGTTTAAAATGAAAATGCTGCAGCTCGTTCTCAGATAGCGATGTGAGATTAATAGGCGAGGTCCCAAGTGGTCGAGGGAAATGTTAATTTGTTTCTTGAATAATTTCTCCTATAGTCAGCTGCTACACACTACCTTTTATTGTCCTCCGGGTGTCTCTTTCATCCCATCGGACACCCCCCCCCCCCCTAACACACACACACACACACACACACACACACACACACACACAGGCCAGGCTCCATAAAGCTCACAGCCACGCCTTGCCTTTGTTTCGCCATTTGGCTTCAACTTCTGCCTTCTGATGTGACCCCCCCCCACAGAGGCCGTCACATAAATACCAAGCTGGTCTCCCCCCCCACCCCCCCACGCACTCACAAGGTCACCTGGCTACATGCACGTCACACACACACACACCTCCACCCACGCAAAGCTGACCACGAGCCGGCCCCCGCCGGTCAGGAGGGCAGCGTGGCTGCAAGACGGGGGGGAGATCCGCTGCTCACGCACGGCTCCTTTGAGTCTCCGCTCGCGTTTGACGCTTCCTCTGTTGATTTGATCAGCTCAGATTGCTTATCAACGCACTCGTATTGCTGTTCTTTGCAGCAACATAAAAAGTGACATGTATTGTAGTTTTAGGTCGATGCGGTTGACCCTCAGAAGGGCAGAAGGGCAGAAGGGCAGAAGGGCAGCCGTAGAGAGGCTGGAGGAGGGAGGAGGGGGGGTCTGATGGATACAAAACATATAATGGGCATATGTGTGTGCTAGCAGGGGTCGTGTGTGTGTGTGTGTGTGTGTGTGTGTGTGTGTTAGCACGAGAGGGGGGTGGTCTGGAATCAAATGAGGTTGCCACCAGCATAATGAGGGGAGAAGTGTGTGTGTGTGTTTGTGTGTTTCAGTACGACTGGCCAGTGCATAATGGGCCGTGGGGGGCAGATCGTTTCCGGCTCGTGCTGAAGTCGCCGTGGCAGCAGATGTGGTTTTACACATCAACAAC